GCAATAGGCGAATATATCGATTCCTATTTGTGGAGGAAAGAAAAAAATAAAATGAAATAAATGGTGAATAAAATTTCAGAGTTCAGGCGCAGACGTTATGAATACAGAGCTGATGCTGACTTTGGAAGGAACCGGAAACCCAATCCTAAACAGGAAACAAGGGATAAACATCTACTCCTGTTCAAAAGACCGGCGAGGAGTGTGAACGAGACAAGTTGAGTTTTAAAAAAAAAAATCTAAGCCGAACTGCATGCTTAAAATATCATATGTTTGTTTCTTAGTTAGCACGAACTTTACGTCCTGCCATTTCCTCAGATAAAAATTGGACCATCGCTGTTTGATTACAAGGATAGATGGCAGAAAAGATATAACAAAAGCAGTTTGGTTTTGAAGAAAGGAAAAGAGAGAAAGGACACACTCATTCATTTAAAGTCTGCTTCAGTGAAAGAGAAAATCTTGTCAGTTTTTAATCTTTTCATTTGTACGCTCGTACGTATTTCAATAATGTCCTGTATTCATATTTACGATGGCTATTGTAATACTTTCAGATGTTTAGCTCAAATAATCGACTATCTCTTCTCGATCACGAGGAAACACGAAAAAGGTATATCGGAGACGCCGTTTGTTTTCAGCGAAAGAATGAACGGAAGACAAGGGCGCGATAATACACTCGTGTTTAACGTCTGTTTCAGTGAAATGGAAAAAAAAAGTCTATTTCAGATCTTATTTGTATCCTCTTCTTTAAATAATGACCTGCTTTCATATTTATGATCGTTATTGCAATACTTTGTTAACGTTTTTAAGCTGAACTATTTAACGCAGCAATAAGGAATTTTCTACGAATATTTTCCAATCGTAGAACTCACAATGAGGCTATGAAATAGTTAAATTAAGAATTAAGGTTCATCAGAAAAAATCGAATATGACAACCATGAAATATTCATTGGTGTTTCTAGTAAACAATTGTTGAACTAGTCTGCGTTCTCTCAGACTTAAAAGCTTCACGAAAAGTAAAGGATTACATTGGTCAACACGATTATTGGTGACAAGAAACAAAAAATTTTTGGGCTAATTTAATGGTTGATCATTCCGAAAATAACTTTAGTTTTTCATGGTTAGCTACCATTTTAGCTTTACTGAAATTGCTCATTTTTGGAAAAAAAGATCAATTTAAGATCTTGGCTGATCGCAAAATTTAGATAATAAAGATCGTAGAAGCCATCAATTTTCAGGCAGGCCGGGCAATTTATGCCAGCCACCTGAAATGAACTATTTTTATAAGGAAAAATGTTTCTAGTAAAAAAAAATGTTTAAATAAATGTATGGAAGTTTATTTATTTATCACCAAAATTCAAATTAACTGATAAACTTTATCAGTAATAGAATTTAGTATACCTAATTATTAAGGTGACATCAAAAAAATGAAACCCTAAAATCTTCTGTTTAATATTCATAAATATATCCCATCATTTTTATCTTTTCACTACGGAAGGTGTTGTGATGAGATAACCCAACTTCCCCATTCACGATAATGGACGGACTGGTTGCCGATAAAGTACGACCACAGTAAACAGTAGAAAAAGGTCTTCGTTTATTAACACCATTGCGGTTAGCTTACTCCTGACTGTCTCTGTATTTTGACATACCTACATCCGATTATAAAATTATTATTGAAAACCACACTCGGGTTTACTTTGTTTATTATATTTTGCACGAGATATAACAGAATTAAACCAAGCACATTTAGAGCATTTTCACAATTGGAAAAAAATTCCAACTAAGACATCCCAATTGAATACACCCATTCCATTGTACATGATACTGCTGGAGTATCAAAAGGGACTTAAATAACACTGAACATGGCAGACAATCAAGAAAGAGAATATTTTTACCATAATTCTTATGTTTACGAAGGTTTTTTTCTGCTGTTAGTTTATTAAATGTTTTGATGAAAATACCTGTTGGTTTTGATATAAACAATCGTGTTATTTTTAAAGAATTAGGGTCTGATTGTTATCGTAAATATAGTATTCCTAAATAAGCAGACCAATATTTGTTGGTTTAAATACAAATTGAGAGGTTTCGACGATTTTATTTTGAGAAATATTGCTATCGGCCAGTATCATATATACAGCAAACAAATGAAAAAAATGCTTTCTTTTCCAAAAATGAGGCATTTCTGTACAGCAAAAATGGTAGCTAATCAGGAAAAAGTGCGTTCGTTTTCAGATTCAGCGCCCTCAAATGAGCTGAAAAAGATGTTTGGTGTCTCAACACCATTTCAAACATTTTTTTTTGTTGTTGTTGTTGTTGATCTGTGTAATTGTTGAACTAATCTACATTCTCTCAGACTTAAAATCTTTATGTCACGAGAATTAGTCTAACGATGTCAGAATAATCCACCCCTACCTTTGTACGTGGAGAAAAATAATGCAACGAGGTGTGGGGAAGTCCCCCATGGTCATATTAGGCTCGAATTCTTTTTACTAATGTTTCCCCACCGACCAAAGAAAATCAAGAAAACGGATGAGGAGGGAGATCAAGCACATTGACACACGGTAAATATTTTTAATGTTAAGAAATCCCTCGGTTGCATATTTGTTTTAAAGTTTGTATAATTCTCTACCCATTAAATTATCAATGACCTTAGACCTCCACAAGTTTTACAGGCCATAACTACAAATCGAATTACTTTAAGCTGATATAATATTTATGCCATTGTTCACCCAATAAGTGGGCCCAAGTGTCACTCAACGTAGAGGGCTACTGAACGATATTGGTTTGGTTTATTTTGTTTAACGGCATATCAACCTCAATAGGTTATTTAATGCCGACAACATATTTAGGATAGATTCGTATGAATAGAATATGTATTCTTTGGTTTAGATTGGTTTGGTTTATTTTGTTTTACGGCATATCAACCACAATGGGTTATTTAATGCCGACAACATTTTTTATTGCATGTAATATTTTGTTTTGTCAAAAATTGGTTTCTGGTAATACTTTTCCTTCAAAACTGTATTGCTGGTAATAATTATTTTTCAAAAAGTATTGCTGGTAATAGTTACCTATTTGTCCATAGCTGGGACCCTAACAAGTGCTGCCACCCCGGGTCAGGGTGGACCTGGGAACAACAGCAATTAAGAGGTGGATCAACGCTTCTTGAAACCTCCTGATCAAAGGCCTTGCTGCTGGATGTAGTTTATCGTCTTACCCAGGATGTGAACGATATTGTTATAAGAGCGTACAAGAAGGGGTATTATGAGGATAGATAATTAGTTCGTTTAATGACATATCAATAACTTATGGGTCATTTAATGCCAACATTTTTTTTTGTAAGCTTTGGTAATTATTTTTTACTATTAAAATCTGTTGCAGGAATTATTTTTTACTATAAATAAATAAATAAATAAATAAATGTGTTTTTTTTTTTGTTTTTTTTTTTTAACTTTCATAGTGTTTTGACCCCAGTCTGAGGATTCATTATTTGCCTATGTCTGGGGACCTAACAGGGGCTACCACACCGGGCCTAGATGGACCTGGGGACAACAGCAATTAATAGGTTGCCTAACGCCCTTCAAAACCTTCCGACCAGAGGCCTTGCTGCCGGTTATAGTTTATCGTCATACCAATGATGATAGGAGAAATAACAGATGAGCCTAGACTCAAAAAATTTAAGAGCGTAGCGATCGGAGGAGGCATTTTATTAAGGGTCTGTTCTAGAAGGTAACAATTCTAGAAAAGAAGATGTCTGATTGGAACTTCTTCGCCACTTATGACGGAAAAGAGGATGGGTTTATTGAGTCTAGTCTTAGCTTCGAATATCTGGCTGAGGGTGGGGACCTAAGGAATGTAGCTCGTTTGCACATCTGCTATGAAAATAGCGACAGAACAGCGAGGGCAAGGCACGATTTGCATGTGGGTAAGTACTTGTAATGTGGGAAATAATTCATTGCCTATACGGTAGCGTAAACGTATTTGAACTCTTGGAAGTGACGGATCTTGTCCAGATTTAGCGGTAATGTTTCATTTTTGGTCTGATCCTATTTTTGTAAAAATCTTTTAAGCCAAGAGGAGTCAATTATTAGGTTGTCCCAAAAGTTCGTAAACACTTGCAAAAAACTGAAATTTTACTCGCCAATTAATAACAAAAACAACGAAAATTATTACTCAAAATAAAGACCATCATTTTCCAAGACTTTCTGCCATCGATCTGCAAGCTTTCGGATCTAGTGAAAGTAACATTCAGCCGGCTTCGAATCAAAGAATTCTTGACACGCTTCCTCGACTTCATCAAACGAGTCGAATCGGCGGCCCTTCAGAAAGTGTTGCATTGAGCGGAAAAGGCCGTAATCTGATGGAGCAGAGTCAGGACTGTAGGCTGGATGTGGTAGAACCTCAACGCCGTCCAGCTCTTCAAACTTGTCTTTGGTCTTCCTGGCTGGCATTGTGGCTTGGCATTGTCCTGCTGCATCAAAGCGCGTTTTCGGTTGATCAGAGCCGGGTACTTTTGCTTCAACTTTTCGTAGACCCGCTCCAGTTGCTGACAGTAAAGTTTGGCACTGATGGCACGACCATTTGGAACCAACTCCAAATGCACGATTCCTTCAAAGTTCCACCAAACACACAACATGACTTTCTTGCCGAATTGATCTTGTTTTGGAACCGACGGTGTCTCTTGCACTTTCTGAACCCATCGCTTGTCTCGATTGGGCTGCATAAAAATTCAATTTTTCGCAAGTGTTTACGAACTTTTGGGACAACCTAATATTTTCTGCCTCAGTAGAATAAGCTGACCATTTTCCAGCATCTTTAGCGAACTTTAGCTTCAATATACGTTTCAGCACTGGTGCCACATTAAATACCACTTTTTTTTATTCCTTCCAAACAAGGCAATAAAGCCACTAAAACGCAAAGGCTTTCCTTTTCACCCTTTGTAAATCAGTGTTATTTTACTAATAGTGTGTTGCAGCCAAAGAACCGAACTGTCTTTCGGCTTTTGGCCATATCCCATTTTAACATCGGTTCTCGTACGATCACCGCGGTTAAGCAATGTCGAGCCTGGTTAATACCTAGATGGGTGACCGCCTGGGAATACCAGTTTCTGTAGGCTTGAACGTGCTGGTGGTATAATGGGCTTACGGATATATTCCGTTGAAACATCGATTCTCGTACGATCACTGAAGTTGAGCAACGCTGAGGCTGGTTATTGACCATTTGGAAATACCAACTGTTGTTAGCTTGTAATGTTGTTTAATGGATAAAGTCTCGGAAATGGAAATGCGAGAGACGGAGTTCTAATTCCAGTCAGGTTCGTTATATTCACTTCCGCGCAAACATCACTGGGATAGGTATGTATCCACCTCTTCTCCCCCCCCCAGCTATGGGTTAATTAGTATGACTTGTATCAGCAAATAATAATTAAGTCCAAAATAATTCTTATAATCTAAAATTATTTTCTGGCTTTAAATAACCCGCAAAGGGTTGATAAGACATAAAAATGAATGAATCAGCTCATCAACCAAACAGTCTTTCACTAGTTGACACCCCCGCCCCCCCCCAAAAAACCCCAAAAATGACCAATCGGAAAAATAAATAACAATTATGTTGTGTCATATTCAGTAACTTGAGTAAGAAAAATTAAATTTTAGTCAATTATATATTCAGCATTACTTGCAACTTTTTATTTTATTTTTTGTCACCCAAGACAAAGCCAATAAGACGCAAGCGGTTACTGAATATTAGAGAATATAATAATAAAAAAAAATAAGGAGAGAGAACAATAAAAAAAAAACAAAAAAAAAACAGGAAATAAGACTGTAGATAACGATTGGCATTGCATCTAAATTTTTGAACATCAATGTTGACTGGGAAGCAAGAAGCCAGAAGAGAATTTCACAAGTGAGAAGTGCGAGAGAAGAAACTGTTAGCATAGAACTTACGGTTACATGTAGCCATTTCGACTGTAAAATGATGAGACCTATCCGCCAATCTAGTTTTGTACTTAAATTCATAAAGACTAGGTACCAAACGAGGTAAGCAATATTTATTTTTTATAATATAAAAACATGGTATAAGGCCAAAGGGTGTGATAGGCTGGTCATCAATCTGTCTTATCTTAAACTTAGCTAGCCATGATCACTGACCCAAACATACCACAGTATTCCTTACACCAGAATAACACATTCTTACTTACTATTCTTACTACAGCCACCATAATACCTCAAAGTCTCTATGTAGTCTTAACTAGTTCCTATATTTACAATTTGCTTGTGAGGGGATGTATAAAAATAATAATCAAAGAGGAAAGCATTTCAGATCAATTACCATGAAAATATTCATAGAAATAGGCATAGCGAATCTACGTTATGGCGGTGAGAAAGAGGCCGAGATGACAGATTGTTCTTTGGATTTTATCAAGAATTTCTAAATACATAGCAGAAGTCCCAGGCCAATTGTGGTAGCAATATCCAATGCATGGACGAAATAAAACTTACCATGCAGCATTTACAATATCATTTCGAAAAATCAACACCAATTCAGATGCCGAGACTTATGAAATGAATTTATTATATTGTAAAAGTATTTATATCGGAGAGACATCACGAAACCTGAAAACCCGTACCTATGAACATAAGAGATTTGTTTAGAGAACCATTCCAATCCGTTCGCAATGCACATGAACAAAACCGGTCATAACTTTTGAAAGAACATAATTCTTTATGTCGAAAGTATTTCGAAGAACTACTAATAACAATATTACAAGCTGTAAAGATACGTGAAAAGTTAAGCAACGCCGAGCCTTGTTAGTAACCACTTGGGAATACCAGGTGTAGTAAGCTTGTAATGTAGTTTAAATGGATAAAGACTCGGAAATGGAAACTCGAGAGACGAGTTCTAATTACAGTCAGGTTCTTTATATTCCCGCGCAAATATATTACATTATCAACCTTTATTGAATACATTCTGAAAGTATCTAACGTATATGTTTATCTAAAACAAATGATATGTAAGTAAAAACGTTCCAAAATCAACATGCGGAAAAACACCAAATATCTACTACTACTAGACACACACACTAAGCAATATACATTATCATGTGAATCCCACATAGACAAATTAGAATTATTACACACTTACATACAAAAAGCAATATTTACGGTTTTTTAAAGTTAACCTTGGAATTCGAAAATTTCTGCTAACTTCGAATTGAAGCGTCGTCTCTCCTTGTAATCAGAAGGCCACAAATGATACTAACGTTTGTTTAACAAGTCGAATGCACGTGAAACATGATTAACCATTGAAAATCGAACAGCACAAAAGTTAAGTCCCATAGCCTGTTCAAACTGTCGAACTCTCTGCACTGAGCAGAGAGGAAATCTGACGAAGCTTTGCCGAAGGGTAATGTTTCGTCCGGGGAGGTAGACAGATCCTGAACCCGTTTAAACGGGTTCTAAGGGGATATCTTTGACGGAGACTACGGTCTCTGAAAACCCACGGTAAACTCGGCCTTGTGCCACATACATCGCTCGTAGGGGAGGGACTGTTAAATATAAGAGCACAAAAGTTAAAGATACCCGAATTTCTTTCTTTTTTCTCCATATTTTATTCTCTGATGAAGCTTTAATAAAAGCGAAATATGTTAGATTGATAAGTGTTCTCTAATTGTTGTTTATCTTATCATTCTCTCGGATTCCGATCCATATTTGATCTGTATTTGATTCCAACTCAATCAAAATATTTTACGTAAGATTCCGTGTCTGTCGCCCAAATGTCCGGCTACGCTGTATACGGTCCTGTCACTGGATCTAACCAAGGTTCTTTACCCACTGTGCCATGTGTCTTTAAGGACACGTGGCAAAAAAGCAGCTCAATGTACAACGTAGAAGAACATTCCTTTTTATCGCGTAATATACTTACAGAATCCACTTTGTAATAAAATAAACTTGAATTATCAACCTAATATCCATACGCTAGACATATTCAGACGTGTTTAAATCTATATAATATTAAAAAGACGTATTTGAGACGTGTTGGCCTCCAAAGAGCTAGGTGAATGCCAAGATGTTTGGGTGAACAGACATCGCTCTTTTCAGTATTGATGGGGGCTACCTTCCTAAACTTTTCAGGAGAATAGGTTTCTTAAGTCCAATAGCTTTTATTGCTCTTTCCAGTATAGCTGGAGGATACCTTCCTAACCTTTTCAGGAGAATTGTTTTCTCAAGTTCGGTAGCTTTTATCACGCATTCCAGTATTGATTCCTAAGTTTTCCAGGAAAATAGGTTTTTAAAGTCCTGTAGGTGTTATCGCTCATTCCAGTATTGATGGAGGCTACCTTCCTAACCTTTTCAGGAAAATACGTTTCTCAAGCCAAGTAGCTGTTATCGCTTTTCCATTATTGATGGAGGGTAACTTCCTAACCTTTTCAGGAAAATACGTTTCTCAAGTCCAGTAGATGTTATCGCTCTTTCCAGTATTGCTCTCCGAGTTCCAATTCCAGTTGGGTTCGTTACATTAATTTACGGGCAAATACCTTTGGGAAAGGCATGAACCCACCTCTTCTCTATCAAACCATGGATTAATTAGTAGGATTTTTTTTGGTGAATCATTAATTTTAAAATTTCTCATAATCCAAAAATATTTTCGGGTTTTATATAAAGTTCAAAAAGTTGATAAACCATAAAAAAACCAAAAAAAACAAAACTAATCAATCAATTTAGGTACAATTTATTTTAAACAGAGGGAATGTTTGTTTTGCATTTAATTTTCTTACTAATGTTCACTCTATACAAGGCTCAGTAGCCACTCAAGATAGAGTGTTATTTCAGGAAGTTGTTATATGCCTAGTAAGTGTAATAGGTAAGAAGTTTATGAGGATATGTGGGGAAAATAACGGTTAACCCTAGACTTGAAGAGTTCACAACTGTAAAAAAGATATTGCTCTGGTTCGTTGTTTGTTTTGTTTTTTAAATCATTTCACCTCAAGCAAGGAGACAAAGCCACTCTGACGCAAGAGGACTATTGAGAGTGAAAGAAACTGGGGAAATGTTATTGAGGAGAAAGGACAAAAAGAATGGGTTTCAAGGAGACAGAATATTGGTTTATCTTTTCTTTTTTTATCTTATTGGGTATCACCCTCAAGAAAGGCAATACGCAAGGTGGTTACACGGTGTGGAGGAATTAGGAACAGAAATATTAGTGATGAGGAGAAAGAGAAAAGAGCAATCAGGAAGACAGTAGATAGCGATTGACAGATATCTATCAAGTTGCTTCGTACAATGACGACGGCTCCGTCAAGTTGCTTCGTACAATGACGACGGCTCCGTCAAGTTGCTTCGTACAATGACGACGGCTCCGTCAAGTTGCTTCGTACAATGACGACGGCTCCGTCAAGTTGCTTCGTACAATGACGACGGCTCCGTCAAGTTGCTTCGTACAATGACGACGGCTCCGTCAAGTTGCTTTCGTACAATGACGACGGCTCCGTCAAGTTGCTTCGTACAATGACGACGGCTCCGTCAAGTTGCTATTTACAATGACGACGGCTCCGTCAAGTTGCTTCGTACAATGACGACGGCTCCGTCAAGTTGCTTCGTACAATGACGACGGCTCCGTCAAGTTGCTTCGTACAATGACGACGGCTCCGTCAAGTTGCTTCGTACAATGACGACGGCTCCGTCAAGTTGCTTCGTACAATGACGACGGCTCCGTCAAGTTGCTTCGTACAATGACGACGGCTCCGTCAAGTTGCTTCGTACAATGACGACGGCTCCGTCAAGTTGCTTCGTACAATGACGACGGCTCCGTCAAGTTGCTTCGTACAATGACGACGGCTCCGTCAAGTTGCTTCGTACAATGACGACGGCTCCGTCAAGTTGCTTCGTACAATGACGACGTAACAAAGCCGTTGTAAATTGAATGGTTACCTACGAGTATGTATTATCAATTAGACATTTTAGAATAGCAAAAATACAATTCAATCTATCTCAATACAGACACGATGACCTGATATGATTCAATCACGTTAAAATGGCGAAAATATAATTCAGTCTATTGCTATCAGATTTCGAACAAATGGAATGACCTGATACCAGTAATGTAGTTTGCT